CCTCCCTCTCCCTTCCTCTGTAAAAAGTCAATGAAATATATATTTTTTAAAAACCCAGCAGCCGGGGGGCCCGCCCCGGCCCCCGCCGCTCACCTGGGACCAGGCCATGGCCACCCAGGCGGGGCAGTGGAAGAGGTTGCAGGCCTGCATGACCTGGGGCCGCGGCGCGTACATGCACTTCCACTCCTCCACCTGCAGGATCTCGCCGTGCAGCGACTCCTCCACGCACACGGAGCTGCGGCGCTGCGTGCCGCCCCCGCACGACGCCGAGCACGCCGTCCACGGGTTATGTTCCCAGCTCGGAAGCAAAGAGACGCAGCCCGTCACCCGGCCGGCCTCGCGGGCGCGGGCGTGTGCGGGCGTGTGTGCGCATGTGCGTGCGTGTGAGTGTGAGTGTGTGTGCGTGTGTGCGCATGTGCATGTGTGTGCATGTGTTTGTGCGTGTGTGCGCGTGAGTGTGTGTGCATGTGAGTGTGTGTGTGTGGGCGTGGGCGTGTGTGCATGTGTGTGTGCGTGTGCGCACGCGTGTGAGTGTGTGTGTGTGTACGTGTGCGTGTGTGCATGTGAGTGTGTGTGCGTGTGAGTGTGTGTGCATGCGTTTGTGCGTGTGTGCGCGCGCATGTGTGTGCATGTGAGTGTGTGTGCGTGCGTGTACGTGTGTGCGTATGCGTGTGTGCATGTGTTTGTGTGCGTGAGTGTGTGCACACGTGTGTGCATGTGTTTGTGCGTGTGTGCGTGAGTGTGCGCGCATGTGTGTGCATGTGAGTGTGTGCGTGTGTGTGCAGGTGTGTGAGGCCGTGTGTGCATGTGTGCGCGTGTGCGCGTGTGTGCGCGCGCACATGTGAGTGTGTGCGTGTGCGTGCGTGTGTGCATTGCACGTGTGCGCGTGTGCATGTGTGTGCATGCGTGTGTGCGTGCATGTGCAAGCGTTTGTGTGTGCGTATGTGTGCGTGTGTGCATTGCGCATGTGTGTGCATGTGTGTGCGTGCATGTGCAAGCGTGTGCGTGTGTGTGTGCGCGTGTGAGATCAGGTTGCAGAGAGGATCACAGTTGTGGCTGGGCTCAAAGAGCAGAGGATGTGGAGGATTAAGACTTAAGTCTTCATTCACTCATTCATTCGTTCACGCATTCATTCACTCACTCATTCGTTCGCTCGTCTATTCACTCACTCATTATTCACTTATTCGTTCATTCATTTACCCATTCATTCATTCACGCATTCATTCATTCACGCATTCATTCATTCACGCATTAATTTATTCACTCGCTCATTCATTCGTTCACTCATTCATTCATTCACTCACTAATTCATTCGTTCATTCACTCATTCATTCGTTCGTTCGCTCACTCATTCATTCATTCATTCACTCATTAATTCACCCATTCATTCATTAATTCACGCATTCATTCGTTCATTCACTCACTCATTTATTCGTTTATTCACTCATTCATTCACTCGCTCATTCATTCATTCACTCACTCATTCACTCACCCATTCATTCACTCACTCATCCATCCATGTATTCACTCATTCATTCATTTGTCCACTCATTCATTCATTCGTTTTTATCCCCAACCCTGGATATTTCTCCATTGATTTTTAGAGAGTGTGGAGGAGAGAGGGAGAGACAGAGAGAAACATCGATGGGGGAGAGAGACGCGTCGATGGGCTGCCTCCTGCACGTGCCCTGACCAGAACCCGGGCCAGGGAGGAGCCGGCCACCTTGACTGGAATCGGACCCAGGACCCTTCGGTCCGCAGGCCGGCGCTCTATCCACTGAGCCACACCGGCCACACAGACTTTCAGCGTAGCTGCCGCACAAGCTACCGTCCGGGTGGCCTCTGACCTGAGGTTCCGTCCAGTGGGAGCGGCCCACCTGCCCCGTTCCCCGTCACAGCGCACGGAGCGAGAACATGAGAGCCTCTTCGAGCTGCCTCCACCCTAGCCTGCGGGCGTGGCTCAGCGGTTGAGCGTCGACCTAGGAACCAGGAGGTCAGGGTTCGATTCCCGGTCAGGGCACAGGCCCGGGCTGTGGGCTCCGTCCCCAGTGGGGGGCGTGCAGGAGGCAGCCGGTCCAGGATTCTCTCTCATCATGGATGTTTCTCTCTCCCCCCCTCCCTTCCTCTCTGACATCAATAAATATATAGATATATAGATATATAGATGAATATAGATATATAGATGATATAGGTATATAGATGTATAGATATATAGATGTATAGATGTATAGATATATAGATATATAGATGATATAGGTATATAGATATATAGATATATAGATATATAGATGAATATAGATATATAGATGATATAGGTATATAGATGTATCGATCTCTCGCATGTATAGCATATAGCTGACCTCTCGACTCTCTCGATGCTCTCGGTCTCTAGCTATCTCTATCTACGCTGCCTCTCGCTCTAGGCTGCTCTCGGTCTCTCGCATGCTCTCGGTCTCTAGCTCATCTCGCTGTCTATCGCTCTCTCGCTGTTCTAGCGCTACATAAGCATGAATATCGCATCTCTCGCTGCTCTCGGTCTCTCGCTCCTCTCGCTCTCGCTCGCGTCCCCCCCCCGCGTCAGCCATCCCTCACCGAGGGAGGGGCTGGAAGTGGTCGTAGGGCCTGATCTCCTTAAAGCCGTCGCTGCAAACGGAATCATGTGAGAGCATCAATCCTCAGTCAATAGTTTATTGATTTTTTTTTTTTTTTACAGAGAGGAAGGAAGAGGGATAGAGAGCTAGAAACACTGATGAGGGAGAAACCTAGATCAGCTGCCTCATGCACACCCCCCACTGGGGATGTGCCCGCAACCAAGGTCCATGGCCTTGGCCGGATTCGAACCCGGGACCCCTCAGTCCGCAGGCCGACGCTCTATCCACGGAGCCTCACCGGTTAGGGCAACAAACAGGTCTATTGACCCGATGGAGACAGATCTGACGTCCCGCACGCCGAATCTCTCTCACGAAGAAAGCTAAGTGGCCCAGGCCGGGATGGCTCCATGGATGGGGCGTCGGCCTGAGGACCGTAGGGTCCCGGGTTCGAATTCCAATCAGGGCACAGGCCCGGGTTGCAGGCTCGATCCCGCCTCGGGGAGGGGGGGCGTGCAGGAGTTGGCCGATCCATGATTCTCTCTCATCATGGATGTTTCTCTGTCTCTCTCTTTCTCTCCCTCTCCCTTCCTTTCTGAAATCAATAAAAAAACAAAACAAAACCAAAACTTTTTTTTTTAAAGAAATATGGCCCTCACTGGTGTGGCCCAGCGTTGACCTGTGGACAGAAGGGTCCAGGGTTCGATTCTGGTCAAGGGCACATCCCTAGGTAGGGCGTGCTGCAGGCAGCTGATGTTTCTCTCTCATCGATGTTTCTTCCTTCCTTCCTTCCTTCCTTCCTTCCTTCCTTCCTTCCTTCCTTTCTCTTTTCTCTTCTCTTTCTCTTCTTTCTCTCTTTCTCTCTTTCTTTCTTTCTCTTTCTTTCTTCTCTTTCTCTCTTTCTTTCTCTTTCTCTCTTTCTTTCTCTTTCTCTCTTTCTTTCTCTTTCTCTCTTTCTTTCTCTCTCTTCTCTTTCTCCTCTCGTCTTTCGCCCTTTCTTTCTCTCTTTCTTTTCTTTTCTCTTTCTCCTTTCTATCCCTTTTTATTCTCTTCTTTTTCTTCTTCTCTCCTCTCTTTTTTCTCTTTCTTTTCTTTTCCCTTGCTCTTCCGGTTCGTTTCCCTCTCTCCGTTTCTCTTTTTCCTTTCCACCTTTCTCTTCTCTTTCGTTCCATCTCCTCTCCCTCTTTCGCTTCTTGTTTTCTCCTCTCTCTTTTTTTGTCTCTTCTCTCTTTTCCCCTCCTCTCTCGTTCTTCTCTCCTTTCCTCTTCCGCTCTCTTCTATTCCCCTTCTCCTTCTCTCCCTCTCTTTCCCTCCATAGCTTTCCTCTTCTCTCTCTCTCTCTTTCTTTCTTTTTCTCCTCCTCTCTTTCTTTCTCTTCCTCTTTCTCTTCTGTTCTTTCTCCTTTTCGTTCTCTCTTTGCTTTCTCGTGTTTCCTCTCTTCTTTCGCCTGTCTCTCTCATCTTCTCTTTCTTTCTTTCCTTCTCTCTTTTTCTTCTCCTCCTCTTCTCTCTCTCTCTCTTCTCTCCTCGTTCTTTTCGGCTCTTTTTTTCTTTCTTTCCCTCTTTCGTTTCTTTCCTTCCTGCCATCCTTCCTCCTTCTTTAATATATTGTAATTGATTTTCCACAGAGAGGAAAGGAGAGAAGATAGAGAGCTAGAAACATCGATGAGAGAGAAACATCATCAGCTGCCTCCTGCAACACCCCCTACCGGGGATGTGCCCCAAACCACCTACATTGTGCCCTTCCGGAATCGAAACCTGGGACCTTTCCAGGCCGCGAACCGACGCTGAAAAACCACTGAGCCACACCGGTTTCGGCTCTCATCGATGTTTCTAGCTCTCTTATCCCTCTCTCTCCCTCTCTGTAAAAAAAATAAAAAAAAATCAATAAAATACATTAAAAAAGAAGCATGTGTCTATCATGAAAGCAAACAAACAAACGACACACACACACACACACAAACAACAACAATACAAAAGGCCCTCGGAGCGCGGAGAGCGGCAGGGCGCCCCCACCTGGCGGGGCAGGGGCCCATGCCGCACTCCTTCAGCTTGGGCTTGGGCTTCACGTTCTCGGGGTAGTAGTGGCAGTAGTGGTCGGGGACCACCCTCCTCAGGCGCGTGTCCACGCACTCGGCCGAGTTCAGCTGGTAGCCTGCGGGGGGCGCGGGGCGGGGCGGGAGGGAGGGAGAGAGGGAGAGAGGGGGGGACAGGAGGACGGTCTGAGAATCGCACCTGCTCCTTCCTGCGCGGCTGCCTTGTCACGCCCACACCCCGTGTTCCCCCTCCCGCTTATCGAAGAAACTGAACGCAGGCCCGGCTGGTGTGGCTCAGTGGTCGAGCATCCACCAACCAACCAGGAAGTCAAGGTTGGTTTGATTGCCTGGGTCCCGGGGTCCATCCCCAGTAAGGG